ATTGTATATAGGTCAGTGCTGTAGATATTCATTTAATATTTTTCTTAGCATTCCACACTAAATACAGGTATAGTTCAGTATAACAGCTTAGATGCATGCTAATAGTAACAATAATGATATTATTAATATTAAACTTATTTCATACCAATTGAAGTGAAGTCCAATAATAATCACTATTTGGCAATTGCTAATTTTTTTTCGTATTATTAAAAAAAAAATCCAAAATAATTTTTGGACCCCATCATCTCAAAATTTCTGTACCGATATACTCTAGAAAGTATACCATGAGGCCCTAGAATATTAGAAATCCTGTTGCATTCAAATGTGGTCATTTTGTGGTGTTAATGTATATTTGCCTTGTAAAATGTTATTTTGAAGGTTATACAGTTTATGAAAAACTGTAATGTCCTGTTCCACAGTTGATTTCTATTTTGAACACTTGGTCAACTACACACAATAGTAATAATAACTGTGACAGTAATCCCAATAACAGTAGCATCCCTAATATGTCAGATAGAACCCACCTACTCACCAGGATGTCCCCTCTGAAGTTCTGCTCTGTTTCATCAGTTTATCTTGTGGAGTCTGTTGTTTGATTTCAGCATTTAACAAGAAACCAAAGATCAAACACAGAACATACAATTAAAGATTCATCTGAATTCTGTCTTAAGTTGATGTCATCAGTTATAAAGCATCTATTCTTATTGGACATGTAACAGAGAAACAATCTCTACAATATAATGCTGTCTTGACCAAACTTTGTAGAAAACACACAGAAAAGATCCTGAATGTACAGATTCAACAATATTTTTTTATAGACCAGATGTTTGATGATGTACAGAGTCAGTGAGTTATTTAACTGTTTAAATTTATATAATCCACTAGAACAGACCAAGTACCTGCAATCCTAATTTTATTCATTTAAGGCAGGTCCAACTAAAAGATAATCTACACTTTGATACACAGAGGGAAATTATCAGCAAAGTGAAAAAGCAATCTGTTATTACTGTCTCTTATACGGACATTTACTGGTGGTTTAAAGTGTTTGTAGGGGGCTTAGATAAGGCCGAGTGCAGAGTACAACCTTCTGTTCCAGACAGACCAAAACCAACCCAAGTCAGTGAGGAATCCTACAACAGCTTTTAAACATGTCTGATTTGACTGCATCCAAAAACAAGATGTGCTGCCAACAGAAGAGAGGCTGTGCTCTCACTGTGATCTACAAGCTGTTGAGACAGAACTTTACTTCCTCCCCGAGTGCAACAACACAAACCACAACTTCTTGTTTGTCTGGTATTACAGTCACATATTGCTCAACATTATGTGCCAAGTAGGGCCAGTCTCTAACAATGCTACTTAAGAACTACTTGGGAGATTTATTTTTATTAGAAGTCACTAAACAAACTGCATAGAGTGCAGCTTGGGTGTAAAAAAAAATAAAATAAAAAAGGGTGTTCCTTTGGTGATCTTCAGTTAGGGGATCCTACTAGTTTAGAACTATTGAAAAAATCTGAGGCACTCAAGAGGGTAGTGATTTAAAAGGCCTTTAATATATAATGGTTATTTACTCAGAATAACAGTTAAAACTTCAATCTCCATCAGGGCAAATACAAAAAATTGCATTTGGGTTGTTTATATCTGTTAGCAAGTAGTCACATTTGTGTTGACAGTCAAAGTCATATGACAAACCATGTTCAGTAAGGGAAACCACACATAAAAAAGAAATCACACAAAATGCCAGTATAAAACAAGAATTCAAAAAAAGCTCCACACTGTCCCTGTCTCTAAGCACTACAGCTGATAAAAAGCTGAAAACATGAACAATGTACAGACTCAGTGAGCACAGCCTGGACACTGAAACAGGAAGACTCAGACTAATGTGGCTGCCAAGAGAAGACAGGCTGTGTTCTCACTGCGATCTAAAAGCTGCTGAGACTGAAAACATCCTCTCTGAAAGCAATAACACAAACCACAACCTTCCTGTTTGTCTGGCATTACAGTCACAGATTGATGTCTGTTATGTGCCAGGCAGGGCGTCTCTAAAAATGCTACTAAGAAAGAATTACTTTTGATGCCTGTTTGTATTAGTTAGACCTCACTGCATCTACACATAGCATAACCAAGAAACAAATATGTCTACAGAATAATTTCTTACCAACTCCAACAGTAAAGTTAAATCAAACCACAGTCTTGGATAGATAATAATATGAGAGAAATAATGAAGAAATGCAGACAGGCGAAGTAGAAATGTAAAAAGGACCATCTAGTGGTTTCACATCTAACCATGAAAGAACTTGTGTCAACCTATCATAAAGCAGTATGAGACACCAGGTCCTTTCAATTCATTACAACAAACCAGCGTGACTTTAAAAACCATTGAAGCTGTAATTAACCCCCCTCCTGATCAACTAACTGGAGCCACCCTAGTGATCTGTGAGCAGTATTTGTCCTTCATCATTAAAGTAAAGAAAATAAAACTCCCGATTGGTCATGCAACAGGTGACCTCTCTGCACACTGCAATCCTTCTGCCTGTTTCAGCAACTTTCAACCTCTCACACTCTGCACATTAAAGGACACATTGGAAAAATTAAAGCATACATCGAGTCCTTTAGATGTGACGATTTCTGAAGGAGGTTTTCAAAAGTGTTGGTCCAACAATTTTATCAATTCCAAATAGCTTGCCGTCGTGCAACAGCTTCTTAAAAAAATCAAACCTTGACCCTACCAAATTAAAACATTGTAGAATAATTTCTAAATGGCAATTTTTATCTAAAGATTTAGAGAGAACTGTTTACTTACAGTGCAATTATTTTATGAATATATTTTTGACAAATTTCAATCAAGTATCTGAATCGGCTTTCTCTCCGACCTTTGATTTACAGCTGAAGCTGATGGATAATTCCTGGATATTAGTGCTGTATTTGACACTGTGGATCACTGAGGATCTCTTGGCCTGATCTAGACTAATTCTCTGTATTCAAGGTAAAGCTACAAAGAGCACGGCTGCTCGGCTTTGAGCTGAAACAAGGAGACAAGATAATTTCAGTCCTGGTTAGCCTCTCTCCCTGGTTCAAACACATCTCCTCATAAAATGTGACAGCTTGATGAGTTGCCTTGATTAATCAGTTCCTGTATCAAGTCATTTATTTCTTTTTCATGTTCTTGTTGCAGCTTTTTCTGTTCCTCCTCATTTTCTTCCCTTTTCATTTCTTTTTCATGTTTTTTCAGTAAGTCTTTGATTTTTTTCAGATTTTCTTTCTTTTTGGTCACACATTTCACTATTTCACACATTTCCTCTTGATGTTTTTTCTTCATTTGTTCTTCACTGTGGTCTTTAAGAGCCTTTAAGATGTCATATTGTTGATCTTTGTGATATTTTCACAAGTTTTAATAAACTTCCGAACTGACAGAATATTCTTTTTTGTTTATTCCTTCGAACATAGAAAACAACTCGTTCAGCATATACCATATAAAATAAAATCTGGCTTCCATAATCTTCACTTGGTACACATACATTCAGATTCCTCCGTTTTTTCCTTGGTATGTCCTCCTCGATGTCTCTTTTCTTTTTCTCGTTGTTCTCTCTTCGATCCCTCTTCTTTCTTTTCTTTCATCTTTTCCTATTTCCCTGTTAGTGATTTTTCTTGAAGCTTTTTCATTGTTGTTTCCTCTGTCCGTCTCTGTTTCATTTTCTTGAAGTTCTTCCCACTCTTCTTTTCGTTGTCTTCCCAGTTCCTCCTCGTATCTTTTCCCATCTCTGTCTCTGCTCTCCTCCAGCCTTCCTTCAGGTGGGTTTCTAATTTGGGATTCCCTGACTCCCTGATTTTTATTTTCCTCCCAAGGCCTTCCAAACCTGTTTTTCCCAACTCCTGTCGTTGGAAATGTTCCTGTTGTTTTCTCTCTCCGTGTCTTGTCTTCTTCTCCATTTCCTGTTCCTCTTCTCTCACGTTCGTTGTTTGATGTTTCTCTTTTTCTTCAGTGTTTTGATAATTTTTCTCGTCCTTTCAATTTCTTGACTCTTGTTCATTTTTCCTCTGTTCTCTTCCTGGATTCGAGTCCTCTTCTTTTCTTTTCTTTCAATAGTTTGTTTCCTCCTGGTCATATTCTTCCTTGAAGCTTTTCCCTAAGTTTTCTTGTTCCTCCTGTTTTTTCTTTTCATTTTCTTGATTTTGTTTTCCCCCACCATTTTTTTGTTGCTCTTCATCCCAGTTTCCTCGGTCGGTTCGTTTCCTCATCTTCGTTGCTATGCTTCTCTCCAGCCTTTCATCAGTGGTTTCCCTTTTGATTTATCTTGGATTTATTTTTCCTCCAAAGCTCATTTTCCCGTGTTCCAATCCTGCGTTGGAATTTCCTCCTGTTGTTTCCTCTTCCCTGTCTTCTTCTCATCTCCTTTCCTGTCTCTTTCGCCTGCCCTCACATCTTTCTGATGTTTCTTCCCTTTTCTTTCAAGTTGTCCTCAGTTTTTCTCTTCTTTCATTTCCTGCTGCTCTCTGTTCGTCTCCATTCTTCTTCATTTCTTCCATTCCTCGTCCTCCATGTTCTTTGGAAGCTCCTCCTCTTCTCTTTCATCTCTTCTTCTTCTTCCTTCAGGATCTCTCCATTTTTCTTTATGATGTCCAGCCTCTTGCTACAGCTCATTGAGAAGTCGTAGCAACTTCCTTCCATTTTTCTTCCCCATGGTGTCGTCTGGCTTAATGAGCTCCTGACGCTGTGTGGTGGCTTTTTATCTCGGTTTTAATTAAACCAATGGTACTTCCTTCCCACCAGTCCAGGAGCATCAGCTTTCTTAAAGGAATCACAACACTCTTTTTTCAACTGTACTCCATCCAATTCGACCAGCGTCCTCATCTTTACAGTAAATCGTCCCTCCAAGTTTAAAAGATGGATGGTGAAGTCTCCAGATATCCCCTTCCAAAAAATCCTCTCCTTGATAGTTCTTAATGTCTTCCTTCTCCTCTTTGTGGTGTTAATCGCCAATTTGGTAACACCAACAGAGAACATGTGGTTGGAGGCCAGAAGAACTGATCATTTCACCCTCTCCTCATGAACAATCTCATGGAGCAAACTATTGGTCGAAACCCGAC